GGGGGGGGGGGGGGCATGCGTTAAATAGAGCAGCTCCGAGAACCACTCTCATTAAAGCGCCCAGATTATCTCATGTATCAGTGTCCCCATGCTTCAAAATGGTGGTGACTGCGCTTTATCTAAAGCTCATCAAACAAGCTTTAAAGTGTCCTCAGCGCCATTTTGAAGCACAGGGACCAAGGGCCGGACACAGGCATGGGTGAACCGGGCAGCCACCTGAGACCCCAAAATGGTAATTTTTTCCATTGTCTAATTATTATTATTACCTGTGGCAGAGGGGAGGCCAATACTAAAAGTTCACCTGGGGCCGCCAGGAGTCTAGGTACAGTGCTGGCAGGGTTGCAGAGGCTGGTTAGAGCATGGTAATTAGCACACTCCGACAGACTAGATTAATCGAACCTGCTCTGATGTGCTGTAATTACAGTGCATCAGAGCAGCCTCCCGGCATGTGTACAGACACCCTTGGCTCCCATATGTTTAGGGTATAGGAGGAAGAACAAATGCACCAAGATTCCAGTGCAGACAATAAGGAAGCGATTTACAGCACAAAATGTAAGGACATAGCACTGGGAACAATTTATGTCAGGATAAAAGAAGGTGGGGTTTTACCATATATCAGCTGTTCTACTGTAACTGCCTGTGTACATGACTTATCACAAGGCAAGTAGCAGCTTACTCACAGCAGCTTAGCATTATAGAGCTCTATTAGCTCCACCAAGGGGAAAAATACCCCTTTGGCTTTGATTTACCACAGTATAAGATTGTGCATATGGGCAGTTAGTGTGGAGCATTTGACATGCAATAAAGCCCTCATCCACTTTTCCCTCACAGCACCCTTAATGCCATAATGACTAACTAGCCTTCTTCTGTGGCCCTGTATCGCTTCCTCTACAAAACCAATACTCTCTGAGAAGTCATGACATCAGGATAGTGGGTGAAGAGAGACTGCTTCCTGGGCATCTTTCCCCTCCTGATAGTGTATTACTCCTGTTTCCACTTTGACCAACAGATTATATATCATACAGGGGCAACTTGAACTTCCTTCTTGTAGCAATACAAAGTAGCTCCACAAAAGAGAGAACAGATGACTAAACCACCACAAACTGCAACCTGAATTTCGATTTACATATTAAGTCTTCCCATAGAACCTAATTTATATTATTGGAAGGCTCAAGGGATGGTCAGAGACGGACAGAACCGAATTCACTGTTAGTGTAACCATATTAACTTTAATGGAGATGAATTTGGCACACAAAGCTTTTTGTCTCCAAATTGCCAATTCAGATTTGTCTCAGGGTTGAACACATCATAAAACATTACCACCCAACGGTCGTCTGGTTGCCAACTGGAAAGAAGCAGACAGCTGCAGAATAGGTTCTAGGGGCCAGTCACATTCCAGTTACCCTTCCTTTGTTGGTAGTTTCAGCAGAAAGGCCAAATCACCTGTTCATTTGACTTGTCCCTTTCTGGCTCAGAGCCGATACACATTGATGGGAAAGACTGCACTCCAGCCATCTGCCTTGTGCAGGCTCTGGGGCAGAGACAGGATTCTGCTCACCAAGGCTGTCAATTCACCACCTTCCACAATAATGCATTCACACCATTTTAAATTGTGAGATTAATTGTGCAGGTGTCCAACATGGCTGCAGTGGACAGCGAAAGCACAGCATCCACCAGGGTTCCCAACAGAGGGGGCCACAGTTTTCAGTAGGAATGTAGGCAAGCAAAAGTGGTCTGACTGCAGGGAATGATAGCGTGCAACATGATTGGAGATATTTGGACCCATAGACCAGGTGTTACAGCAAAACAGTTTGCTAAAAACAAGAGCATACATACTCCTTGCAGTGCAGTTAGAGTTCCTGACAGGTCATCTTCTAGTACCATGCATACCACAGTCCCCGCTACACCACTGTAAGCTCCATTTGGTTTGGGCCATGGAAAGTGTACTAGGGAATGATTACACCATTGAGTGGCCTCTGCTGTACAGCCAAGACTTATTTGCATCACAGCTCAGCTGAGGCCTAATCTCATGTTGCACAGGTATCCAGTATCACTGCAGACTTTGCTGCATGTTAACAAGAGAAATTTTTCCCTGCTTTTCCCTTCTGCGCTCTTTACACTGTAGGCAGTCTTACCTGACACATTCAGGATGGAAGGAGAGATGTCGGGAAGCCCCACTCTGGAGTCTCCCATCCACCAAACAATGGTTACTGGTTCGGGAGGGCCAACAGCAGCACAGGCCATGTGAAACGGGGCGTTGGGGGACACAGATACATCCTGAGGCTCCACAGTAAAGTAGGGCACACCTAGAAAAGCAAACACCAAGCTACTGTATCTTCAGTCATTCTTTCTGCCTCTTCGTTAGCTTCCAATCTTTGTATGCAGCACTGACAAAGCACCCACCATCTGAGCAACTCTAAGCATTTTGCAAATACAAAGGTTCACATTTTCTAGAAGTCCACCAGGACATAATGACTCTAACTCCAACAGAGTCAACAGGAGGTCAGGTACCTGCTCCCTGAGGTGCTTTTGAAAGTCCTTTAGTAAATAGACTAAATAGCAGTGAAGTGGATTTTTTTATGTTAATATTATCCACCCCCCTTTGCAGACAGAACTGGGGTACAGAGAAGCTAGAACCAATATTCTTAGATGTACCAACTGTTTTTATTCTGTTTTATTCCTGCTTCTAGGACCTTGGCCATGCATTAAAAATTCAGTCCAATGACCACATTGAACCAGCAGTTTCACCTCACTCAAAATCTGGAAAAGAATTAGCCATGGACGGCATGAAATAATGTATCTCTTGCAAGAACCCAGGACCTTTATTGTGCCCTTCCTCCAAAGCCTGAACTGATGGGCCTTGCAGCATGATGTCAAGGCCAGTAGTGTTAGGTAACCTCAGGACAATGGCAAGCATTGATTTTCCAAGGTGAGGGTGCTTCACAGATCGTGCTTTTGGCAACCCTAACATAGTCAATGGAAAGACTCCTGTTGATTATGAGTTTTGGATCAGGCTCACACTGAGGAAAGGGCAGCTTGATCATCTCAGTGGACTATATCTGGAACACTCTCTCATCTTAGTGGTTTATCACCACAGTATATCGAACTGCGATACAGATGAGAAAGCGAGAGATGTGGTCTCTTGCATACCGAAGTCCCAAACCACTCAAGGCTTTTTATAGATCTAAACAGACAACCCACTTCAACCAGTCACCAAAAGGCAATAGAGCTGACACATGCTTCTGGTGAGCTACATCACCTAAAGAAGGCTGTTATATCCTGCTTGAGCTTCAGTTTCTTGCCTGATTTAAGGTGCAGTTCAATACAGTCCACTGCTCGGTACTCAAATCTTGAAGGGCCAAGCATCAATAGCAGGGGCAATATTTGCATCCAAAAGCAGATGACCCACTCTCCTGACCCAAAAATGGAAAAGGACTCTGAAAACTGCTGCAGCATGATCACTTAGGAGTAGCTGTGGAGTCAACGATATTCCTGCTCTGGGAACTTGAATGCTGAAGTTATAGCACTTTAAGTCTGTCCTTTGCCATGTAGACAACTGGCCTTAATGACTGGGAGCTGCAGTTGTTAAACCCCTCGGAAAATCAGAGTATTTATAGAGGTGACTAAGGGTACGAGCACACAAACCATTTACCATGAGATAAAAGGATGCAGGGCTTTATCACACATCAGGTACTGCTTAGTAAGTACCTAAGTGCATGCTCTTGCTCTGTGGTAGATGAAAGCTAAACTATGGTCCTTTGCCTTTCTTGCACAGGCTAAGCTGCCACAGTTTAGCTTCCACTTCAGAATGCGTACACAGGCAATTCCATGAAGCGTGCAATACGGTTAATTCCATCCACTGTCCTCTCCCCCTCCTTTTGAACTCATGGCCACTTGTTTGTGTGCTTATGCCCTGAAAATGTTAGATGCCTAATATTTCACCACTCAAGTTTAAAAACTTCCTGTCAGACCAATCTGGTGGCTTTTTATGATCAGATCACCAGATCATTAGATGCAGGGGTAGCAGTGGACATAGTCTTCCTGGACTTCCAGAAGGCTTTTGACACTGTCTCTCACCCCGTTCTCATTAAGAAAATGGGAGGCTGTGGCATAGACATCCACACAGTCAAATGGGTCGCCAACTGGCTGGAGGGCCGCACCCAGAGGGTGGTAGTGGATGGGTCCTTCTCAACTTGGAAGGACATGGGCAGTGGGGTTCTGCAGGGCTCAGTCCTCGGGCCCGCACTGTTTAACATCTTCATCAGTGATTTGGACGAGGGGGTGAAAAGCACCCTGTTCAAATTTGCTGATGACACTAAGATGTGGGGGGAC